ACTCATGAACTGGACACAGGCTAAACAATTGCTGAACATGCAAATGAGTTGATGCTACATTTTACCGATGTTCTCTAAACGCCTCACGTGCTGCTACCAGGTGTCTGCAGTGCAGCTCCTCTGACAGGTGAGCGACCAAACATTTGTTGGAAACTGTGGAAGGCGTCTTCTACACAAATTTACCGTCATTGGAACACGGTAACGGTGAAACTGTTTTACCCGTCAGGCAGAGAAAGGCTGAGTCAATGTGCAAGAAATAAGACTATTTCCAACCACAATATCTTGTGCAGCAGCTACCTGTGCCGACAGAAGGAACCAGATCAGCCTAATGATCATCATCACATTACAAATACTGAAGAAGTACTGTGAGCACTGTATTGGTGCACAAGGAGAGTACTACAACAGGTTTTGATTTTTGTAGGTGCAGACTTTGTCGTTTTGATCACATCTCATAGAAGAATCATGTCCTACGTATACACGTCTAATGCACCTACAGGGAAGAGATGAAAATCAATCACAATCCAATCATTTCAGCTTCATCTGTTACAACAAAATGTACGTTGGGTTCTTCATGTTGTAACCCTCATTTGATGAAACAGAAGCATTTCTAACTGTCCACCAGGTGGTACCATTTACCCTAATACATCTGTTCATCCAACGTGCTCAGACCAGGCATAGCATATTTTACAATCAAGTTACGGTTATATATGGACTGCAACAACAAACCCTCCAAAATACACCAATAGTTATTTAACCCTTAGGTGCGTAAGTGGGTCAAAAATGACCCGGTGAGGTCTTTTTCTTGCAGTATCTTTGTAACAAAAAGTTATCATTTCATATTCCAGCTATTCCTCAAAAAATGTCTTTTTGATATCATTCCATATCATTTTTTAAGTTACCTTTACTGGGCTGCAAGGTGGCGCGGTGGTTAGCACTGTCGCCTCGCAGCTTGAAGATCCCTGCGTGGAGTCTCCATGTTCTCCCCGTGCAGCGTGGGTTCTCTCCGGGTTCTCCGGCTTCCTCCCACAAGGTCCAGAAACATGTTGAGGTGAACCTGCCTTCACCCTGAGTCAGCTGGGATAGACTCCAGCCCCCCATGACCCTAGTGAGGATTAAGGTGTAGAGATGATGGATGGATGTTTTAGTAGCTGTTTTGTGTCACTTTTGATCATTTGGCATCTCTTTGTAGCCATTCTGTCTCTCTTTTAGGTCACTGTGTTCCACATTGGATTTAAGTGTCTCATTTTTGGGTTTTTTTGCATCTCGTTTGTCTCACTTTGGCTTTTTTGCTTTTTTTTGTGGCACATTTTGGCACATTCTTTGTTGCCAATAAGTCTCTTTATAGACATTTACATCCCATTCTGTCTCAATTTGGTTGTTTCATGTCTTTTTCTGGGATATAAGTTATAATTCCTGGATAAAAGCAGTTGCGGCCTGACTTCAGTAATCTGTCCATGAATCGAGTGTTGGGTTTTGTTTGTTGGTATTCTCGTATTTTTGTTTAGGTGTCAAGTTGGTATGGCATTAACAGAGGTTTTTTAGTCTTTACAAAGTTTTTCAGAGCCATTGAGTCATTGGGAAACTGTTTCCTGGTGGTTACGATGACAAATCGGTGGTTTTACATGCATAAAATCTGGAGGGTCCCTCTAAGTCATATACTGACTGTATATATTACAACATGGACATAAATCCACAAATATGAGCAAAGTCTGTTTGCTTGTGAGCCTGTTTGCTTCTTCTCTGTCTAAACTCTTTCATTTTCAACTGTATATTTTACTGATGCAGCAGGTTGCTGTTTTGTTAGAATCAGAGCAAACAAAGAGCTGCAGCAGATTGATAAATCACATGTGTCTGTGTGGGCTGATGTCTTGTGGTTCAAAGCCACAAAACCGGTTTCTGTGTTTGAGGAGACAACTGGGGTGTTCATGAATACAAGATAGGACTCAACCTTTAGTCTTTCCTAATGACGCTGTGAGTCACAATTGAACTAAGCTGGTGATCTCATATCTGAGTCCGATGATTTTTTTCTGGAGGCTGAATGACGAGGTGAAGAGATTTATGTGTCACAGTGAGAGACCTACAAGCTCCCTGCTGTATTATCTCTATGATGTATTCATCTGCAGAAAACAGCCCAGGATGGTGGCTTCAGGTGTCATGTTTTGTCTGACAAATGGTTTAAAACCCCCCAATTTTATTAGTTTATATTGAAATAAAACTGAAAAATCTCCCACGGGAGAAGATGGAACCAAACAATGTCCTTCATACAGAAACATCTTATTTGTTCTCCTAATTTGTTGTCTTGATAAGATATGATAAATCTTCATTGATCCCAAAGAAAATTATTTTGCTAGATATTGCTCCGAATAAAATAAGTAAGCTACAGTATGAGTGGAATAGAAATTAAGTAATTCTGGCAGTGATACTAAGGTAGTAAAGTAATGTCACACAGGATCATGAAATATTTCACATTAAGCTGAAATATTGCACCTGGAAAAGGAAATATTTAAGAACATTAATTTGACATATTAATGCTCCTGGTCACCAGATTCTCTTAACTGGACATGCAGGTCAGATTTCTTCACAACGGAAACTAAAACACAACTTTTCTCTAAATTTAATTGTTTCTCCGCAGTTTTCATTCTTCAAAACTTTTTAGAAGATTTAAAAAAAACAAAAAACAACAACAACAATTTGTTGACAATCAAGTCGTGCTGTTTGAAATCAGCAAAAAAGCTTTAAGTAGCAGCATCAGTGTTGATGTCAGAGAGCTTTAAACAATAAGGAAATATGAATCGGAGAGGCTTTGCTCTGTTACAGTCACTTTAGTATTCAGATCCTGCACGGCAGTAAAAGCACAGAGACAAAGTTCTTCATTATAGGTGGCAAAATGTAGTTGAAGAAAAACTTGTTGTGTTGATGTCTAGCTTAAGTTTCAATCAACTAATTGGTTAGCAGACTTCGTTGACGTTTTCTGTCCCCTTGTGTCTTCTCTCCGTATGAAAGTGCTGCTGCTGAAGAACAAAAGCGAAGGAAACGTGACACCAGTTCAAGTTGAGGTCCTTATCACTGAACACATCTGCAGCGTCCAGATCGGAAGGTGAAAATGAAACTAACTTTAGCCTTTACTCTGAAATTCTCAGGAATCCTACGTGCAGGAGTTGTGGGGAATTTCTAAGGTGAGATGAGGCGAACAAAAGGATCTGAGTCATCATGTGTTTGGGATTAAGACTCGCTGTTAAAGATGTGACACTGGTGGAGCTGAAAGTCTTTAAGGCCACCGCCATGTGCAGTTCAATCGTCCTGCAGGGCCTTGATGTGATGTTCAAACCTCAAACATGGGGGTAAGATGAGCAGAAAATAAAAAAAAATCTGTTGTGTTTGAATAGCAGCGATCCTGTCGGTGTTTTCACCAAAAACAACAACTTTTATAAAAGTACCATAAGAAATGTGCAAATATAAAAATCAGAGAAAAAAATCACGTGTACCTGCGTAAACAGTGATACATGCTGTTGATGAGGGCTGCAAGGTGAGCAGTGGTTAGCACCGTTGCCTCGCAGCAAGAAGGTCGCTGGTTCGTGTCCCAATGAGGACACCCGGGATCTGCTGTCCTTCTACAGGTGTTCTGTAGAGAGCATCCTCACCCACAACATGTTGGTGTGGTGCTGGAACTGCTCTCAGGCTGACGAGAAGGCTCTGGAGAGAGTCAGGAAGTCAGCACAGAGCATCGTAGGAGCACCGCTGTCCTCTCTGTCAAACATCTATAACGCCAGATGTCTGCCACAAGCATCAGCTTCGATGGTTCAGACTCCGGGCACAGCCTGTTCTCACTGTCGCCCTCAGGATAGAGGTACCGGTCCATCCAGACTCAGCAAAACGTTCCACGGGTACTGAATACGCATTAGCCTATATTTGTCTGTACTATTTATCAGACATCTTTATTATTTGTTCTATTCTATGCTATATATATTATAATACTATATTCTATTCTATATTTTGTATATATTTTTTTATACTATATTACTTATAATAGGGCTGCAAGGTGGCGCAGTTGGTTAACACTGTTGCCTCGCAGCTAGAAGGTCGCCGGTTTGCGTCCCGGTGAGGACGCCCGGGATCTTTCTGTCTCCATGTTCTCCCCGTGCAGCGTGGGTTCTCTCCGGGTTCTCCAGCTTCCTCCCACAGTCCAGAAACATGTTGAGGTTAATTGGTGATTCTAAATTGTCTGTAGGTGTGAATGTGAGTGTGCTTGGTTGTCTGTCTCTAAGTGTAGCCCTGTGATAGACTGGTTACCTGTCCAGGTGAACCTGCCTTCACCCTGAGTCAGCTGGGATAGACTCCAGCCCCCAGTGAGGATTAGACGGATGGATTACTTCTAATTATCTTATATTTATGTTGTTTATATTCCCCATATATCCACAGTGTTTCTACCCCACCAGTGCAGTATATTTATTCTACTGTTTGGCTGACTGTAAATACTTCCTACTGGCTCCTTTTGTAAATATACGTATGTATTCTTATTTGTCTTTTTATACTTTTATTTCTATACGTTTGCACCACTGGAGTTCTATTGTATTCTATTCTTTTAAAACAAAGAAGAAAGAAGCAACTGAAGTAGGATCCAAGCAGTTAACTAATTATTAAAATCGTTTTAATTGAAGTAAATGTCATGAATCCTTTCAGTTTTAATCGTAATGGGGGGAGCTGACGATAAGCCCTTAGAGAGGACATGCTAGTTTTCCCTCCCTCTTTTAAAACACTGTGTTTCTTCTGTCCACCCTCCTCTCTTTTACTGCAGTCCGCCCGTGTTGTGAATGAGTCACATCCTTTAAAGTCTTGACCTTGTGATGAAGTGGGCAGCCAGGAGTCACTCAGCTTCCAGGAATCCACTGTGGGATTCCCCCCGCCGTCCTCCCTCCTCTCTGATGCCGGATCGTCTCTCAGACCTCCAGGCTGGTTTCTTTCTGCTGCCGCTGAACACCACCGGGAAGGCGAAGCTCGTACCTGCCAGGTGGAGGTGGAAGCTGCTTCCTTATTGGCCGAGAGGAGTCAAACGGGGGCGGTGTGGCTCCTCCTACTTCCTGTCTCGTTCTCAAAGCGCTGGTGGAAGCAGCTGTGAAGTGGGAAGAGAAAGAAACACAGAAGTGGAGTGACACCGGCGCAGAGCGAAGCAGCAGGTAGGTGGAGATTCCAACAAAGAGAAGCTTCTGTTTGGTGCGTCTCAAGGTGTTTCTAATTCATTCTTAGGAAAATGTGTGTTTGAAGTTTGTCAGCACATTTAGGCATCTGAGGCTGCTGCTTTCAACCCGGTGATACTCGGATGTTTCCTTTTATCGTCTCTGTGACTGACCTTGACAACTTTGCATGAGTTTTACATGCCGCTTTGTGTATCTGCTGACTTGTTCTCGAGCCACTATAATCCTTCATTTGTGTTTCACCTCCGATCACATGAGGTAGAATTTGACTGCAGGAGGATTTGATCCCAGGTTGACCATCTGAGTTTCCATCATTTTCGACACGATTATGTTGAATGTCTTTGGAAACTGTTATGAGTCTTTGTGCTATTTAATCATAAAACATGACCAATAAATGAGCTGACAGTGCTCTACATTTGGCCTTGAAGCATCAGACAGGAGACAGTTCTCACATTTTCATGGTTGTAGAAATGAATGAGTCAGTCCTAACTCCCCTGATAGGTGATTATCAGGATTATTTATTGTCGTTTCAGGAACTTTTTAATAATAGTGGTTTCAGCTTGTTAAATTTGTACATTTCTCTGCTTAATATTTTTGACTTGTGGACTCACTAAGACTTATATTTATCTGTATATTTGGCCCTAAACATCAGACAGGAGACAGTTCTCACATCCTCATGGTTGGATAAATTAATAAGCTGCTCCACACTTAATCATTTTAGGGCATTTGTCAGTAATAGTGTCAAACACTTGACAGTTTCAACTTGTCAAATGTGACAGTTTCTGGTTTTCTCTACTCTTTTTGTTGTTGTTGATTCAGTGTTTTGACTGTTGGACTCATTCAAACCTTACACTGGACTCTGGGAAACAGTGATGAGCATTTTCTCCTTTTAGTCACCAAAATAAAAAACAGAAAAATTGAAAGCGGCCTGACCTGATAGGAGACCGTGGTCACATTTTGTGGTTGTAGAAATGTTTAAAGTGGTCCTAATTCCCCAACAGGGGAATATAATTAATAATTTAAGGCATTTTTTTAACAATAGTGTCAAACATTTGATGGTTTTAGCAAATTTCCTGCATTTTCCTCTTTTTTTTTGTCTTGTTGTTTACTCAATAGTTTGAGTTTTCGACTCAGTTAAACCTTTAAATCAATGACATTAGACTCTGTGGTGGATATTTTCAGCCCTCAGTCAGAAGCACTGATCAACAGATAATGTGATGACGCCGTCATGATGTAGGAGACACTTCTCACATTCTCACGGTTGAGCAACATCCTGCAGCAGGTGGTCATCAGTTAGTCACTGAAGGTATTTTGCAATAATAATTAAAAGCTTCCCACATGTGGGAATTTACTTCTTCTGTTAAATTACGGTGAGTTCAACATGTTTGGTTTGTGGATGGTTGTTCAGACAAAACATAAGAAGATGTCCCCTAGGGCTGAGATAAATCTGGATTTGTCACTTTTTTTTTTATAGACTCAGTTAACTGTAAAATAAACCTTAGAATTATAAATGATATAACTGAGCAGCTGAAGTCTATAGGAGTCTTCTTCATGTTACACACTTTTCTCTGGATGCTATTTTAGCAGAACACAAAGGACACAGTGTTGTAGTAATTAACAAACCAGCCCTAATTGGGAAACATCCCACAATGCTCCACCTGCTGGGTGACGTCAGGCTGCTGCAGGCCTCATTGTTTAATCCATCCGGAGCGTGAATAACTCATAGATGACAGTTATGTGCTGCTGCTGCTGCGTGCGGCTGCACGTCTGCGGCCTCGAGGCTGCAGAAGAAACGAGCAGGTAGAAGCATGAGCGTGTGGACAGGAGGGTTTTTGTGTGATGCAGGCGTATCGGTTGTCTGGTTGCTGGTTTTCGCCCTCAGGCCTCCGTCAGAGAGGCAGGGAACAGATGGTCGATGGCTGCATGACGCTCTATTGACTTTCTGACTCAGTCAAATGTGTTGTCTCACTAAATGTATTGACTCCTGGTGAGGTTTTGTACTGATGTGAAAAGCTGACTGGCTCCTGTGATGTGAAGCTTGACTTTAACCACAGTGGAAAACATGTGAGTACGACTTTTATTCAGCTCTGTGAGGAGGGTTTTAAACATGCAGGAAGGATGGTTTGTTTGTTAAAGAAACCGCATCAAGCGCTTACGTTTGGAGAATGAGATGTCTGTTTGGCTGAAGACTTCTTTTTGTGTGTCTGAGTCTTTGAGTCATTGTTGGTTTAGATGTTAACTGAATTGTCTGCAGTGCGTGGTGTTAATGCAAACACGGCTGATCCATGTGTTTTTGATTATTGGTGATCGAGAAAGTCCTCTAACGGATAATTGGAGCCTATACAAATTAAGAGTAATGTTTTAACAGCATGTGACAGCAGAGGACCTGTCATTCATAACTTCATTAATAGGGGTGACTAAATATGTAAATCAGAAATAGGACTGATTAGGTCTCTGCTCTGTTTGTGTGGGATCGACTGAGATTAATTGATCAGTTTGTCTCCTGAAGTGACGTCTGCTGTTCTTCTCTGTTTTCTTCATCTTTCACTGTTCTGTCACATTTATTGGAGCATTATTAGTTATTGTTTTCCAGACTCTGTTTCAGGTTAATCTGTGGCAGCTGTTAGCGTAGCTTTAGCCACTGTGAGAGGGGCGAACTTCCTGGTTTGTAGGAGAAACATTTAGGGTCTCATAATTTTCACATCATGATTACTCACTTTATGTATTTAGTTTTAAGTAAATCAGAGTTCACAGTCTGAAAATTAAGCTCCAACTGCTGTAATCATTGATTAAATACCCTTTTTTTTGTTTGTAAGAAGATATGATGAACATTTCTTTGTTATTGTCATATAAGAGGAAACCTAATATTTTACTGATGCTGTCCCTGTGCTCTGCTCAATAATAGTTTGAAACCAATTAATTTAGAAAACAACTGCCTGACTAACTTCTTGAACCTGTTGTGTCGGGTTTATTTATTTTCAGGACACCCAGAAAAACTGAAACTGTTCCTCATTTTACAAAAAAATCACCAAATTTGTTGGTGGACTTTCATTAATTATCAATCTGACAGACAAATAGAAACGGAAATGAAATGATTTTAACTCTTAACAAATCCTGGGTTGCTTCTCTGATCACATTTTATTCACATGTTTACTCACTTTTTGTATTTAAACTGATGAATCAGTTGAAAATCAAGCTGCTGCTGCTGCTTGAAATAAAAAAGATTATTTGCTTGTCGCAGTCGCCTTGTGCCTGTCGTATAGACGTGAATCAAACTGTTTAGACGATTGAAACGGCTGATTCAAGCCTTAAACCTTTCCGTCTGTCGGCTTTTGAGTCACTTGTTGAATGATTTTCAGCCAAACGGTGTTCAATCAACAGTATGGTAATCTGAAAATAGCAAATACATCGAGCAGAAGTTTGAGGACAAGCGACACTTATATAGAGCATGTAATACAGCTGAGACAACGGAGGATACAAATGATTTAATACCAGCTGTATGTTTAAGCTGCTTTAGTGTCTAATTCTCTACGTCCGAGTCTCTGAGGCAGTTAAATGTTCAACAAACTGTCTGCAGCATGAGGCTTCAATGCAAACATGGTTGTTTGTGTGGATTTTCTTTAAACAACAGTCACTGTTGCTGGTAAACAATAAACATCTTTGCAACGGGAGCTTGGTGCAGCCGTAACGTTTGTGATGTTTCCGTCTTCTCGTCTCAGAGTTTGTTCCTGGAAATCCCGCAGCAGATCGATTCGACGTCCAACATGGCCTCCGTCGCCCCGTTCAGCCGCCGTCAGTGGGCGTCTCAGTCGCTCAGGGTCACCGCCAAGGAGCTGTCCATCGTCTCCGCCCGGGGAAAGAACAACGCCATCGCCGAGCGCTTCTCCAAGTAAGCCCTGCCTCTGCTGCGCGAGTTAAATAATTCACTCCCACTCTGTTTAGAATTTAGGTCACAGGTTTCCTCACAGCTTCTTTCTGCCACTCAGCTGTTTCCAGTTTCCTCTTTTTCTGTTAAAACTATCGCAGCATCAGGGCAAACCAGTGGAGCCGGTTTTTCTGCTGCCTTTTTGTCTGGTTTGCAGACTTTACTGCGCTGAGGCGGATTCTTTATCACACAGAGCTTCTTCCCCTTTAACACAGATCAAGTTACTCATTTGTGAAATGAGAAAGTGGCAGCATGGAGGGATGGTTCCTGCAGTTACTGCATCTGACCAGCAGGGTGTAGACGGCCATCAAGTAGAAACTGACAAAAGTAATAATAAATTAAAATGTAATGAAAATCATGACGTTGCTTTTGAATTGTGGTTCAACAGAAATATATTAAAAAAACAAACAAACCAAAAAAAACAAGCCTGATGGGACCCGTAAACTGATATTTAGTTGAACAACCCTTTGAGCCAATCCCTGCATAATCAGGTGTTTCTGTGACTCTCAGTCAGACTTGTGCACCTGTTGACAGGTGTTTGGATTTCACTGCTCATCAGCAAAGTGCTCTGATTTGTCTGGGACATTTTTTAACCCACGCTGCACGGGGAGAACATGGAGACTCCACACAGAAAGATCCTGGGTGTCCTCACGACCTGGCGACCTTCTAGCTGTGAGGCAACAGTGCTAACCACTGCGCCACCTTGCAGTCCACACAAAAAACAAAACCGCGTTTATCGGATCATGTGTGCCACAAAAACAGGCAAAACATCACTCTGTCGCTGTCCATCTTGTTTCAACATGAACTCCATAAATGACAACAACAACTCTCATCACCACTTCTGCTTCAAGCCCAGAGTCGGTTCCCTCTCCGGTTGATTTTACTTGTAGAAGTGTTTTTTGGCCACTTGTACGTTTGTTTTGCTCTTAGAGAAGTGCACATTTATAGAAACATGTTAAACATGTATTACAAGCAAGATAATAAAGGAAATAAATCTTTTCTAAAAGCCTTAAGCTGTCCACCTGCTGGAGTTAAGCTTCACAAAGAGCTTCACTCTGCTGAACTAAACTCCCCGACCTCCTGTTTGACCTTCGTGGGTTGAAGCTTTTCCGTCCAGATTCACTGTCATGCATGAACTCATCTGCTGTTTCTGGAGACCAGCGGGGACGTTTCATATTAATTTCCTGGGTGTGTTCAGAAGGAGCAGCTGCGGCGGCGGCGGCTTTCTTTGTTTGTCATTATTTTCCATTATTTCCTCTGATTCACTTTCTTCCTTTTCAGGTACCAGCTGGCAGCAGAGGAGGGAAACGCAGAGAAGAAGAAAACGGTACGAGTCCTCCTAGTGCGCATCACACACACACAGATTCTCATTTTCAGCGTTTTCATTCCTTCATACATCTAAATAACCTCCTGCAGGCAGAACAGAAAACCATGTTTAACCCCTGACACCAGGTCGTATCCTGTTAAAACGCAACAAGCTGCTGTTTTCTGGAGATTGTTATGCTGAGTGAAGAGGCTGCTGGTACAACTACGCCCAAAACATGCATCAAGTTTGGTAGAATCGCACTGAAGAGTTTTTATTAACATCAATGTCTAGACCAAGGGGTGTCGAACTCTGGTCCTCGAGGGCCACAATCCTGCAAGTTTTAGATGTTTCCAACACACCTGATTCAAATGATCAGCTCATCATCAAGCTCTGCAGAAGCCTGATAACGATCCTGATCATTTGAATCAGGTGTGTTGGAAGAGGGAAACATCTAAAGCATGCAGGATTGCGGCCCTCGAGGACCAGGATTGGAGACCCCTGGTCTAGACGGTTGTGAATAGAAACGTGCTTCAGATCTCACTGTGGCCTCATGATGGAGACAAAGAGACTTGTCGTGTTTTTAAACTCTTCCCAGCTGTCTCTGATTTGCAGGTTTTCTTTGACTCTCTACTAATAGTTTAGTTGTGAAAGTTAAATAAAAAACAACTTATTTGTGAGCTCGCCTGGACTAAAAACTCTCTGATGTTGTTCTGCTTGACTGTATCAGAGTCAACCTTTGCAGAGGGAATGTTCACATGTTGTGCGCTGATGTGGGAGAGGTTTGAAGCTGCAGCTGGATCATTACAAACACATCATTATCCTGAAAGTGCTTTTTTTCTTTTAGGCGAACCTGAAAATGTTTAATTTGTGCTGTGCTCCATCTTCATTTACTCTTCACCAGTTGATAAATATTAACAAACTGAACAACGTAAGGGAGTTTCTAAAGAACCAAACTTGCTAAGTTTTTCAACCGGTGGCCAAAAGAGGAGCAGCGAACACTCAGAGGAGTCGGGGTTCGTAGGAGGCGCCTGCTTTCTTTAAGATGAATAGCAACTGTCGGGATAAATGCTGAATATACACGCTTCGGGACTCGTTATATTCTCTATTTTCATATTGTCTAATATTACAAATTCACCTCAGAACGGCTTTGCATTCTGTACAGCGTCTCCCGTCCTCAGACCCTCGATTCAGATAAAGACATGAGATCGGCTTCAGAGGGGGAATTCCTGTGTTAACGTCCCCACAGGCTCAGACAGTAAATGCCGTGTTGTTGCAGAGCAGAGCAGAACATCAGCATGAACAAACGGACAGATTTGACACGTGTGATCTGCTCAGAGGTCGTTATAATCGCCGCACATCCTGGTTTCGGTCCGTCTTGTGACTCCTTTGTTTCAAGCGATGATGCAAACAGTTCGTTGTGTTTCCTATAGCGTCTGTGTTTCTGTTTGTCTGTTGTCGCAGGAAGGCTTAAAGTGGAGTCACGCAGCCTCTTTAAGCATCAACACAATGCATATTTAGAGGAGCTTAAATCACAGTCGTTGATTTCTGCTTCAGTGCAACATTTTTATTTCTGTCAGGTTGTTTCTCTCTCATGGGCTTCATTCCACATTTCATACTTTGGCTTTTTTACTTTACGTTCATGCAGTCGTTTGCTGCAGTCGTGATCAAACGTTTACACTCATGCACAGTCGTCCTCAGATGTTTTCACAGCCTCCCATTAAAGAAGGAAAACAACGGCTGAAATCAGTTGAAATGGACAAAAGTAATAATAAATAAAAATCTAATGATTGCTTTTGAATTGTGGTTCAACAGAAATATATACCAAAAAAAACCCCACAATCAATCAAGCATGATGGGACCCATAAACTAATATTTTGAGCCAATCACTGCCATCATCAGGTGTTTCTGTAACTCTCAGTCAGACTTGTGCACCTGTTGACAGGTGTTTGGATTTCACTGCTCATCAGCAGTTTTGTTTTTATTTTTTGAATTATTCTTTTCAACCACAATTCAAAAGCAACGTCTTGTTTCACTAAGTTATAATTTAGAAAATTTTTATTTATTATTACTTTTTTCAGTTTCTAGTTATTTGAGTGACTAATGGGAATTTTGCCTTTTCTTTAATGGAAGCGGGTGATTACATCTGACTGTGTATCGTGATGGTCTTCAGGTTCCAGTGACTCCTATAACGCTTAATTTTCTGTCGTGGAATTATTGAAACAGATGAATCTTTGTCACAAAAAGATTCGTTCGTGTTTCCTACAAACCTGTCGAATAGAAAGGTTTTCAGATTGTTAAGGGTCGGATTAGCAAGTCACGACTGTGCCAGTTATAGCTAATATGAACCCCCCAAACCTCCCAGAAGGTGAATGTGGCTTCCTAATCAAACTGAGATCTGCTTGTGTTGAAACCATATTAAACTTTACATTTGAGTTTCATTCTGAATCATCTTGCATATTTAATATTTGTGGCATCCTGTGCAGCTTCTTTGGATTCTGTGCTTCTGTATTAGTTTTAGGATTTGCTCTGTGTGCTTTAGTCCAGATAAAAATATCTCAGCTGCTTTTTTAAAACCTCCTTACGGCTGCTTTATAATTAATCTTGTGTTGCTTTACTTGGATTGGCCCTTTCTTTTCCTATACGTTCGTTTATAACCTGTAAAAACTAACATCATTGTCATCCGCCTCAGCTGCACTTAGTGCTAATTAGCAAATGCTAGCAGGCTAAAGTGAGACATTAACGGATATAAACATGAAACCTGCCAAACCTCAGTCGACTCTCTGTGATTTTAAGGCAGAACATTGTCTGATTAGATGTCGTGTTAACTCACTTTTTCTTCCTCGTGTCTTACTTTTATTAAATTTGCTGTCACTCCTGGAGATAAATGAAAGTCCTGCAGCATTTTTCTGGCCTTGTTCTCTGCAGAGCTATGAGATAAAGGTCATGATCCGGTCTCTACATAAACATCAGACGTAGATATCAGCCGAGGCTTATCAGGAGTTTATTACGATTTCCATCGATTGCTGTATTTAAAATGGCTTTTATGTTATTGCATAAGAACAGCTGAACTATCTTCACGTCCCCCAAAGAAAGTAAACTATTTTGTAAGAAAACTAAGCAAGTGGAGCCGGTTGTGTGTAACTACAGGTAGGTTTCAGTTAGAATCCATTTAGATCTGATTAAACTTTGAGGGGAAAACTTTTCCACAAAGCAAAGTTCTCGTACAACATCGTGGATCTACGTTCAGCCACTTTCTCGTGATGGTTTTTCACTTTCTGCCAATAATATACTCATTTCTTGTCACTAATATTCCCATTTTCAGACAATATTTGACCCGAATGCACAAAGAAAACTGAGCAGAAGTTCCTTCTTCCTGCAGGTTTGCTCTCTGTGTAGCTCTTTGTGGGAAGTTTTCCCTCCTAGTCTCTCTCTCTTTTACCTTTTCCTTCATTTCCTGGACTTATTTTCCTTCTCTTCCCTCCCTGACCGTCTCTGGTTCTGATTTTCTCTCCTCTCCGCCCCTCACCCCCTTCGCTCGGTTTCCTCCCCTTCGCTGCTGCTGCTGTAGGGGGTTGAGCCGCCACCACCGCCGCTGACTTCATGCTGCTTCATTCTGATCGTTTCTTCACATCTGGTCGCAGCTTGTTGCGTTTCGACGCACGTTTAGAAAACCGGACGGCTCATCTGATCTCAGGTTTTTAAACCCTCCGCTTTGTTTTTCCAGGTTTTCCAGATGTGCACGTCGGAGCCGCTCGCAGCTCCTTTGTCTTGAAGTTTTGTTTTTCCCTTTTTCACGTCTTTTCTCTTCTTGCTCAGCTGAGACTTTCACTCCAGCTGCTAACATGTACTTTAACTTGTCTGGACCCGTGTTTGCGTTTGGTTTTGGTGTTTGTTTTTTAGCTTCGTTCAGCAGTTTCAGAATCGGATGGCCCGCGTCCAACATTGATGGAATTTATTGAGCAAACTAAGAACAGATTGAGAAACAGCCAGCATCACTCAGGCCGGTCTGCCAGCGTCTTAGAAACTGTGAGTCATCGCAGTTAGTTTGTTGTGTGATTGTTTGTGTGGCTGGCAGCGTAAGTGAGCGTTATCTCCTCGTATCCTGTACAGACTTTAGACACAAGACCAGAGCAGGTTAGAGATGAATGAGGGATTAATCTGCTAAATATTTTCAATATTTCAATTAGATTTGGACAAAACGAGTCCAGCAGCGACATCGTTAATGACGTGCTTTAGTTTTTGAGGTGTTTTACAGACAAATTAATAGTAAATTAATTCACTTTTGTGCTTAAGTTGATGTTTTATTTTGACGCTGATGCAAAATCTTTGACAGACTTTTGTCTTTTGAGTCTTAATCCTGCTGAGTAAATGAATATTTTACTGTGATTCCTTCTAAAACTAGATTTAGTAAACACAACTTCTAAAGTGAATGTTTTATCCAACGCTGAAACTAATAATTGACGCCGACACCAAATCAGCTGAAGGCTGTTTCGCTTGACAATCTTCATCCTGCCGAGTAAAAAAAACTGAACATTTCTTCTACTTCTACGGTTAAATTTTAACCAAACAGGTTAAATTGTAAAATCTATTTTCACATTTTATAACTTGTACATTAATAAACTTTTGCATTCGCTCAACAGTAAAACCCAAAACTTGACACGAACACTGAATCAGTTAAAGGCTCGTGAATCTTCATCACGCTAAGTAAAAAACAAACAAAACAGTTTACGGTGATTTCTTCGACATCTACGGTTACATTTGGACAAAACAACTCCAGCTGCGATGTTGTCAGAGACGTGTTTTTGTTTTACAGACAGACATTTGGAAAATAATCGACTTTTGTGCTTAACAATCTCTATGAATCCGCTAAAATTAACAGTCAAGCGTCATGTTGTTTAGCCAACGTCTAAACCAATCGGCTGCAAGATCCGGTGAGCGCTGCGTGTTTCCCATCATGCCACGGGGCCGTGCGCTCGCTGGAGAAACTGAAGCTGCTGCCATCTTGATTTCACGACATTATCTTTGCCCACGTTTGCATGACGTCGGAGGAAGTCGTGTTTGAATTAATATCGTAAGCGAACCCAATTTTGCTTCACTTTTTTGACCAATCAGAGCGGGCCTTTTCAGGAAGTCGGGGCTTAAAGAGAGCACCGGCTGCTGCAGGAAGTACAGTAGAGAGAAAGCATGCTAACGTATTCTAGCAGGCCCAAAAAATAAAATGATAAAACCTGTAAATGTGCATAATGTGGGCTCTTTAAGTTCAATTCAGTGCCAACATTCAGTTGTTTGGTTAAAAGTTACTGTGGCCTCAGAAAACCCGTGTTTGGTTATAACTCAGGAATTTATACACTAATTCTAACAGGATTCAGGAGTTTTGTCCCTCTTGAATCTCTTGAATCTTAAATCTCGTTAGACATTTGTGGTAAATGTTGTCGTAATTAGTATTAGATGAGATTTTATATCCAAAAGCTTCAACGTCAGGTTCAATGTCCTGCAGAAACACTGATCTGGTCGTGATTCAACAGGAGCTGATGGATGTTAACTTGACTTGTTCTTGGAGGCAAAAAAAAAAAAAACGTAAGCTGGTGATTTTAGTCTCCTCTGAAATGTGAGAAGTGATTTTCTTCTTGTGCCTTTTTTGATGGTGAACTTTTCACTGCTGTTAAACAAAACAAGACATTTGAACAACTGTTTAAGAAAATACACAAATGTACAAAACAAAAAAGGCTGCGAGGAAAATACAATAGGCTGTTCTTGGGGTTGCTTAAGAGGAAAATCGTTGTTGTTTTTCATGACCTTGTTCTGGTTTTGTCTTCTCTCTGCTTTATCTACACTCAGCTGCTGTTGTGTTCATGAGAAGAGCTCACAGACTGTGACTGTGTTTAAAGGGCAAATGCTTCAATAACTTGTTTTGTCTTGTTTGATTCTTGGTCAGACGTCTGAACACGACTCCGGTATTTCAGCTGAAACGTTGGCTCCGTTTTCTTCCTCTGCTTTACTATCCTTCACTATGAAATACAAAGACGGCTCGTCCAGATTTCCACAACAAATACAAGGTCTGAAGCAAATAGGAGACAGTAAAATACAAGCTGTAGGTAGAAGTTAGAGATCATTACAAGGTTTGGGGTTTCTGATTCATTTAAATTAAATGAATGCAGGACAAATATTCATCCGGTTCAAGGATTAATAACTCTTGCAGCACATTGTAGATGACGAGCTGTGACGTTTGTCTGGATCCAGGTGGACGTGCAGATATTTGGACCATTTTATATTTTATTTTTCACTTTTAGCTCCTTCAGAAAGAGTCCAGAGATGATGTCCATGTTGGGGCAGTATTTTACATCTTCCTTTGTGTAGCCTGTTCCTTTGGGTCGTCACGCAAATATAATGTGTTTTAATAGTTTTTGGTAAACAATGCAGCTTTAGGTGACATTAATTAACCTCTGTTCTGATGTTTCTGAGCTGTTTTCAGGATTATGGTTTTCAGTGGGATCCAGTGGGTGTGCGAGCCACAGACCGGTTGTTCATTAGACTTGTTGGAATTAACAAAACAGAAGAATGATGCCAGTTTAGTCTTTTAGCTGAACGTATTTGTCGTTTCTCTGCAGGTTGCAGAACCTCTGCCTTCGACGCTGTGCAGCGGGAACCTGAGTGTTTTAAAGAAACGCTGGGAGCAGCAGCAGCCGTCCGGCCTCAGAACCGAACCGCAGGCTTCATCCTGCAGCTCCAACGTCCCGCAGACTCGCATTAATCCATCAGCAGGCCTCAAACCTACACCGGCGTCCCAGATCGAGAACATATCGGATCCCATCGCACAACCAGAGGGCCAGTTTCACTGTGAGAGCAGCCGGTCAGCTCAGGATCTGACGGATATGGAGGCGAAGGCCAGCAGAGAGTCGGAGGGTCAGGAACCGGCTGGAGCAGCTGAGGTTCCTGAATGTGAAAAACCCAGCGTTCCTCTAAACAGCCTCAAGATGATGTTTGAAAAAGGAGAGAACCAAGAGAGCCAGGTGAGTTCTTCTCTTCTCCTCTGTGACGCCTAATGTTTCACATGAAGGGAAAAACTGGATTCACAAACCAACAACCAACATTTATCATATTTAACTGTTCAGTGTTTTAAGTTCTTACATTTCTAACCTATGATGCACTGTTACTGTCTCTGCTGTCCAACAGCACATAAAACCGTTAAAATGAGCTCCATCAGCTGGACCAGAGGTTCTCAAACTTTATGAGCCACGACCCCCAAGATGACATCAGTTTGTGTTCATGACCCCCCAGTTAGAATTTTTAATATCTCACCAGTAATAACTTTGTTGTTTGTGCATTAATGTGTTAAAAATGAATGTGTTAATTCCACAGATTCATCTCTTTACATCAACACGTTAATTTTCTTTTGAATAAATGAATTGAATTCATTTTGAACAAATGAAAGGGGAAAAAAATATAAAAACAAAAGAAAACAACTTTAAAAAGAGCAAAAAAGAATAATAACATCACATAATCAAATCATCATAATAACAAGTTTGAAAAACAAGTGGGAAGAAGGAAACACTTTTAATTCTGACAGCCCTAATACACATTTATTTAATAAATGTCGGCTTTATTTTATTTATTTTTTTAACAATAATCTGGCGACCCCCTGAAACTATCTGGGGACCCCCATGGGGGTCCCGACCCCCAGTTTGAGAACCACTGAGCAATAAAGAGCCTCTGCAGTGAAAATCAAGACTTTTACCGCGTTACGTTTTCAAACTGTCTTCAGTTTCACCTCCAACAAAACGGCTTCATGATTCACTCCAGTTTGAGATAAAGACAATAAAAAAGCGTCTTCTTGTTCTCAGACGTTTCATCCCTGCAGTGCTGTCATGCTGAGAGTCACATGGTGCTCACACACACACACACACACACACACACACACACACACACACACACACACTCTCAGCTGACTTACAGGAAACACATCTCTAAGTTCTGCTTCACGCTCCTCAGGCAGCTAATTGTTATTTGCGGTGCATAAAAGTGGAGGAATTTAACTTCCAGTCATGCATCAGCTCCAGGCCAGTTAAGCCGTAGAAGTGCCGGAGGTGGAACAACGTCTACGCTGAGTTTCCTCGACACAGAGAACCATTTAGAAACAGCAGGAGAACATTACGAGCAGTTGTGAGAATCAAAGAAGCAGCAGACGGATGTTTCTGTTCTCACTCAGTTTAACAGTCACGACCTTTTAACACTCGTTTTATTCCTTCACAAGCCAGAAAAAATAACACATTTTGATGAATCAGACTATGAATGATGTAGGAACAAACCCTTGTATATAAAACTTTTAATATA